AAAAAAAAAAACAAAAACAAAACAAAAAAAAAAAACAAAGAAAAAGGCTGAATAAACTCTACCACACAGGCAAGCCACCTGTTTTTGTAAATAGTTTTTTGTATGCTTGAGACAGCGTCTCGCTCTGTTACTCAGGCTGGAGTGTAGTGTCATGATTTCAGTGCACTGCAACCTCCGCCTCCCAGGTTCAAGCAATTCTCCTGCCTTAACCTCCCAAGTAACTGGGATTACAGACGCCTGCCACCACGCCCAGGTAATTTTTTTTATTTTTAGTAGAGATGGGTTTCACCAGGTTGGCCAGGCTGGTCTTGATCTCCTGATCTCAGGTGATCCTCCCATCTTGGCCTCCCAAAGTGTTGGGATTACAGGCGTGAGCCACCACGCCCAGTCATAAATAAAGCTGTATTAGAACATTTTTAAAAGGATGTTTGGGTGTGGTCCTCACTTAAGTGGAAGCTAAGCTATGGGTACACAAAGGCATACAGAGTGATATAATGGACACTGGAGACTCAGAAAAGGAGAAAGTCGGAGGGAGGTGAGGGATGAAAAATTACCTACTAGGTGCAACGTACACTCTCTGGGTGATAGGTACACTAAAACTCCAGACTCGGTGGGAGCTGTGCTCATGCCTGTAATTCCAGCACTTTGGGAGGCTGAGTTGGGTGGATCATTTGAGTTCAGGAGTGCGAGACTAGCCTGGCCAACATGGTGAAACCCCGTCTCTACTAAAAAATACAAATATTAGCCAGGCATGGTGATGAGCACCTGTAATCCCAGCTACTCAAGAGGCTGAGGCAGGAGAATCGTTTGAGCCCCGGAGGCGGAGGTTGCAGTGAGCCGGGATTATGCCACTGCACTCCAGCCTGGGTGACAGAATGAGACTCTGTCTCAAAAAATGAAATAAAAAGCGAGACTTCATCACTATACAGTTCACCCATGTAACCAAAAACCACTTGGACCCCTAAAGCAACTGAAACTATTTTTTAATTTAACGTTTCTTTTGAAAGAAAAAGAAAAGTAATTTATCAGAAACTCTAAAGAAAAAGCTGGTCCAAAAAAATAAATCATGATCCCCACATGAAACATACTAAAATGTGGCCTAATTCTGAACACCAAACACAGCGCAAATCAATAGTCTCCATTTGTTCTCACTGCTTGACATTCACCTTCCAAAGTACAGATTTTGTGGCAAAAAAAACTATATATACCCCCTCACTTACTGTAACCATAATACTTAAAATCCAATTCAGACTATAAAAGTCCTAGGTGTGCTCACTGCTATTAAACTGTCATTGCTCCCAGGTGTTTTCCATACAGATCACTAAGAAATACCTGACAGCTCTAATTCAAAATGAATCTAGCAGAATTTTTCCTTAAGTTCTTTAACTTTATACTTG